GTTCAAGAAGGCCTTCAGAGGGATGATTAGGAACAAGTGCAAAATATGTAAAAATGGGAAAAAGAACCGCTGTCTACCCCGGTCTGATAACTCTCCTCTTGCAGTGCTAAGCTTTACCAACTTAGGATTAAGAGAAATTAGAGGACTGACCTGAGAGCTAAATAGAGTGGAAAACGCAGAGTTGACGTTTTCACAGTAGCGGAAAAAGTTGTGGAAATTCCGGGGACACTTCCAAGGTTGACTTTAATACCAGGCTCCGGGAAGGAAGTTAGAGAAAAATTGGATCACCGTAACGGATTAAAACACTCCAAACTCTCCATATGGGACGAAGAGCAGCATCATCACATTACACATTTAACAAGTCAAAGAGATCTAGAACAGGAATAAGGAAGAGAAATTCAACTTTGAAATGCGCATCTCACTGAAACAACCAAGTGTCGTTTCTTCACGAGTAGCCAGGCAAAGTATATGAAAAACACTTTCATGATCAGCATTAGCTTACTCTGGATACAACCTTACTACAATCACATAGACAGGCCACCCAATGACTGTTTTCTGTAAAATTTCTGTTTGGAGAAGCAAATATTGTCACTGCCCAGGTTAGGCTATTGTCCGTACAAAAAAGGAAACCTAAAATGTTTGGATTAAAAACTTTGATGGAAAGAGGAATCAGCGGTAAAATTCTCACTTTCTTAATACATTAAATTGCATCACAAATTTTCCGGCGGAAAAATAATGCTGAAGTCCTTGTAATTTCGAAAAGACTTAAGTTCCCCAAGGATGAAACAACAGGTACAAATTTTATAGCGCCACCTAGAATGCATTTCTGGAGATCCTTAAAGTACATACTCTGGGTAGCCTAAAAAGTGTTTTCAGTATTTTAGTTAGAGGAAACCGGTCTTTGGGTGCCCCTGCAGAGACCGTAGACTCACTTTGCATGTTTGTTTCCCGCAGATGCGTTTGATTTCAATAGACTCGCTTCATATCGATCATCTTGTGTACTTTTTTGCTGAAGTATATCGCTTCTGTAAAGCTAGGATGGATTTTCCATTTATATATATAAATTTAACGTCCATACATTCAAATGATGATGAAAGAATGCTGGCCCATTCGTGTCTAAGTACAAATGCCTTGCTTGTAGAGAAAGTCCCACACCTTCACCAGTCTCCGCCAGACTTGGAGTATATGAACAAAACAGCAACCCTTGCGACGTTCATATCTTCATTTTGGCTTTTCCCCGCTAATTAAGAAGGATATTACTCTCTTCCTAGCATGCGTTGCGCCTATTTCGGGGTGATTGTTTCCGGTCTGTGTGATGAGAACATGGGGTGCGATCCATTCAACCAAAATTTCCTGAAAATTCGGTCCAAAACTCAATGGATCGGTTCGGTCCAACCGGAAAAGTTTCGAAAAAACAGGTCCACCTTTTGAGGTGGTCCTCTTTTCCCGGTCGGACCGGTCTGAATTTTGGTTGAATGGATCGCGCCCATGAACTTTGCTTTAAGACCCCTAAAGTTTCGGAGAAATTTTCACCGCTTTAAGGATGAGATATGGAGGTAAAGTAGGTCTTTGCATGATATCTCATCTTTCATTAGGAGCAGAGAATGACTTGACGGTGTCACCTTTCTCTCGTTATGCGCCGCTACTCCGATCTGTTTTATCACAGGCAGCCCAAACCCTGTGAGAGTCCGTTGGACTTTGAATTTACAAGAGAATGTATGAAAATAAACAAAATACGTCCTAAATTCCAATTTTGGACATAAGTAGAAATAAAAATGACTTTTCTTGTGTTTGTGTTTTGTTATTTACCGTCTCTTCGCCTCTAGAGCCATTTGGAAGCCGTTTTATCGACGTTTAAGAATTTGAGTTGTACTAACAGTAAGAAAAATGGGAGGGCTGGGGACTCTGAAGTCGACCGTTCCAGCTCGAAGCTCCATAAATCCCATAAAAATGGTCCAAACTCGCCAAAATTGCCGTCAAAGGATCTGTCTATTATTGGTCTTTCCCTTTTACGCTTCTGGAGTCTCAGATTTCATCTCAACCACTAGCGAAGCGCTTGATTTTAAACTTTCTCCATCAGAGTTTTCTTTCTGGGGATGCGTATGACCGGGCTCTTGGACGTGACGTAATTAACGATTGTGCTGACGTCTGCCTTTCGCTTGAACAGGAGTCTGAAACATTTCTTTTCCTTTCCTTTTGAATTCCATCTTGATTTGCTGCCCTACCGGTGGAACGAGTGTTGTGAGCTGCTTGCCCTCGGGTTAAAGGTATCTTAATCCAACATTCAGGGTGCGTTTGATTGGGAAATCTGGATTTAGATTTTAAATCCGCCGATTTACTATTGAAAGCGAAATCCCAGATATTTTTGGATTTCCTTTTTACCGCTAGTCTGCTACACAGCCGTTTTTAGTGTCGTCACGCAACGTTCCTCCCCACTAAAGGAGCGTTGCGTGACGACTCTAAAAACGG